CAGCAATCCTTGTGCAAGGCAGGTGACGGCCGTCTAAAGGAAGGTTTCCACTTTGGCTTTTATGCTTAAACAGATTGGTGTAACTTTGTGTTTCAGGTCTGGAGGCGGGTAAAACAGTGAAGCTGGAGTCAAACGCCGTGCTGGGATTTTACCTGAGAGTCACATGCAAGGAGGAAAAGAGTCTGAGGAACAACAAGAAATTTACCACGCTGGATGTGCAGAAGAACGGTGTGCGCTTTACCAACAGGTGTGCCTCACCACGCCTCTAATGTCAGCATCGCATAACGCTGCTGGTTTTTTCGGGGGTGTTTTGCCATCTGATGATTCACGCCGATGTATGTTCGCTTGCAGTAAGCTGAGCTCTCTGAACGAGGAGTACACCAAAAGCAGGGAGGAGTATGAGGAAGCCCAGAACGCCATCGTCAAAGAGATCATCAACATTGCCTCAGGTGAGGAATCTCATCACATGCTGCTCACTGTCTTCTCAGCAAGGCATCGATTTGAACAGCACAGGAAACGATTGTATCCGGATTGCATGAAAACTAGAAATGCCATAATTGTATGAAAGTTGCTTTGTGAGACCTTCCGTTTAATTGATTTCGTTCACATTTTCTTTAAAGGTCAGTAAGATCTATATCACTTTGAATTTTTTGCATAGACGTCGAAGAACTGGTGATGTTGCGGTCTTTCTTTTATCAAATACAAAATCATTTTGGAGCCTGCACATGATGCGGTCTCCCGCCTGCGATGGTTCATTTAAGGCTCTAAATGTTTTAAACCGTCAGGTTACGTGGATCCCCTCCAGACGCTCAGCGACGTGATAGCGCAGCTGGACGCCCTGACGAGTTTTGCCGTGACATCGGTGTCTGCTCCTGTGCCGTTCGTTCGGCCTCAATTCCGGCTCTTTGACCATGGCTGCAGGCGCGTGGACCTGCTGCAGGCCAGACATCCCTGCATGGAGATGGATGCAGACACTGCATTCATACCTAATGACATCAGCTTTGTCCAGGGAGACAAGAGCTTCTATATCATAACAGGTGAAAAATAAGCACAGATTAAGTCAAGGGTGGATTTAAAGGCAAATTCTCCCATGTGGGCTGTCTGGCTGTCATTGATGAGGCCCATCACTGTAAAAATCAGCCCTATGTCGTAATAAACGCAGCTTTCATTAAGTCTTGGAAGTACCTCAATAATCATTATGTTTTCCAAACCTTTGCAGGACCAAATATGGGTGGCAAGTCCACCTTTATCCGGCAGGTGGGTGTGATCGCATTGATGGCTCAGATTGGTTGCTTTGTGCCATGCGAGAAGGCGGAACTTAGCGTGATTGACAGCATCCTGGCAAGGGTGGGTGCAGGAGACAGCCAGGTGAAAGGAGTTTCCACCTTTATGTCCGAGATGCTAGAGACAGCCGCCATTCTGCGGTAAGAACAGACGAGCTTTATTAATAGTTGTACAAATAACTGATGAGCAGATACGGGAAGGTTTTCTCATCGTCTGTGTTGTTGTTACAGTTCGGCCACAGAGAAGTCGCTCATCATAATCGACGAGCTCGGCAGAGGCACGTCCACCTACGACGGCTTCGGTCTGGCCTGGGCCATCAGCGAGCACATCGCCTCCAAAATCGGCTGCTTCTGCCTGTTCGCCACCCACTTCCACGAGCTGACGGCGCTGGCAGCTCAGCAGCCCATCGTCCACAACCTGCACGTCACAGCCCTGACGTCGCACAACACGCTCACAATGCTGTACAGAGTCAAGCCAGGTCAGCACGCAGCACGTGGTTTTGCTCGGGGTTAACGCAGCTTTGTGCTTTTAAAAATGTTAATCTCAACAAACGATTATGATCAGCCCAGAGCACCTTTAGAGTGATCCGTCTCTGTCTTCAGGCGTGTGTGACCAGAGTTTTGGAATCCACGTGGCCGAGTTGGCTTGCTTCCCGCCGTCAGTGCTGGCCGCTGCGAAGGAGAAGGCGGAGGAGCTGGAGGAATTCCAAGAACCTGCAGGAGATGAGTTGGAACAGGAGGAGGAGCCCAAGGCTAAGAGGCGAAAGACAGACAAGGAGGTAAGGCTCAGATTTCCACTATTATACCAACACCATAATCTAGACACCGCGGTGTCCATAGTGACATTTATTTATCATTTAATAAACACTACATTGTTGGTACAAGTGATGTATTTGTCTACAAATCATCTTCTTTCAGAAGCAGGCATCCGTGATTTAGATGCGGTGCTAGGCGATATAGGGACGCTTTTCTCTTTTTTGGTGTAGATTTCCCGCTGAACCATAAATGGCGATTTTGAATTTTGCTCCCCCCAGATCAGACGCTTAAAAAAAGTACCTGGTAACAGGGTCTGCCGCCTAATGGGACAACCATAAAAACACAGTTGAGCTGAGCAAAGTTGGTACTAGTGGAAAAGAGGCATAAATGTGCGTTTGTGCTGCAAACGGAGACTACTAGTCTTCCTAATAATAGCAGATTTTTATTAAAAGAAGTGTAGAGACCAAAGGTCAGGGCAGGGGGCAAGAATAAGAATACACTTGAAGCTGTCGAAGGAACGGGAGCCTGTTAGAGGGCTAATACAGAGAGTCAGACAACCATTCGCACTCGCACCACTAACTGCATGTCTTTGGACTGTGGGAGGAAGCCGGAGACCCCAGAGAGAACCCCTGAGGACAAGGGGAGAACGTGTAAACTCCACAATGAAAGGCCCTGGCCAGATGGTGGAGTTGAACCCATGACCTTCTTGCTGTGCGACTAATCACCGTACCACCATTTTGCCCCATTTCTGTTGAGCTTATTCTCTGGATATCTACTGGCTCTGAGAGTCTGAAATACTGGCCTTCGCCCCCAGAGGACAAGTCATCAGACTTCAGCCTATTGATTCCTACATAGGTTAACATTATCTTTTGCACTAGTTTGGCTGACTGCAAGCAAAATGATTGCTCAGTGGCACTGAAACAATGAGAATTTCTGACAATTTAGTTACTCACAAGACTTCATGTGCAGTTCCGTTTTATCTCAGCTGTTCCACTGCAAAGCCAGATGTGATAAGAAATTTTCCTAAGCAAGATCCAGTAGCACAAACTTGAATTCCCCCGTAACAGGGGAAATATTAGTCGGATTTTAGAGTGGCAGAAGGTCTGGATCTTTTAAAAAGCTGAAGACGAAAACAGGATGGTGTCCACAGCAGGATAATGAACAACACAAGTCAAGATCCACATCGGACTTTCTCAGAAGGTGCAAGCTCAGGTGCTCAGTCTTTGCGCTGGCAAAGGTCGGCAGCCTTAACCCAACAAATTTTCCACGTGTGGGACTAATAAAGGTTGTCTTATCATAGTAAATAAAACCTCTATTGAAAATCTGCGATTAGACATGAAGGTTAACTTGAGGCAAGAATCTCAGAACTAGAAATCCCTTTCTAGGAAACAGCTGATAGTTCCCAGTGTTACTAATTACTGACAGTGAAGGATAACAGAACTGTCGCTTTGAGCCCTTTTCCTCCTTTGATATTTTCACACTGTAAAAAGACGGATATTTTATTCTCCACGGTGAAGGAATGTAACAAGCATAGCAGTATAAAGAAGGGAAAAAAAATACACTTGTTGCTGTGTTCTTATAGATAGAGGCAGCCAATCAGAAGAAAGTAGGGGTGGGTTTTTATAATCGATTTATCGATTAAAATCGATTCTGGCTTGGATAACGTAAAATCGATTCATTAAAATCCTGAATCGATTTT